TAATCTGAGATCTGAGTGGAGGGACAGGACACCCTCCCTCCACACATTCTCAAAGGGAAACCTGCACAGCTGAGGCTGTCAATCACGGGCTGTGTGCTGGAGCCCCCTCCCCCATCCGCCTTGATCTGTAGAGGGTCGGCACAGTCCGTCAAAAATAACTCATGCAGATAGCAGAGGAACAAGATAGCAGACATAAATCACATTAGGTGCTTTGGATTGAGGAATGTACACACTATAGAAGAATTTGTTTTGTTCATTTTTCAAGTCAGAGGTTTACAACCACTTTAGAAGGTGATGGTCCATTTTAACTTTTCTATATTTTGAAATTTTATAATCCTCAGTCTACAGGGACTCAGTGAGAAGGCCATAATGCTGGCTACACTGTGCTCTCATGCCTAGTGTGGTCAGATTCTAATAGGAAAGCAGAGGAACTGGCAGGAACACTAGGTATTTCACACAAAAGATGCAATACAAAGAGAACAGGATACTTTTTCATAGTACATGGTACAGCAGGCACATATCAGGAATAAAAAGCTTGAAATAAATTGTGCCACAACATGTTTTTGGTTGTTCACAAACTTCCCTATCAAAATACATTCACCAACTTCTTTATTAGGTACACCTGTTCAATTGCTTGGTAACACAAATTGCTAATCAGCCAATCACATGGCAGCAACTGAATGAGTTTTGACATCTACACGTGGTGGAGATGACTTGCTGAAGTTCAAACCAAGGATCAGAATGCGCAAGAAAGGGGATTTAAATGACTTTGAGCGTGGCATGACTGCTGATCTATTGGGATTTTCACGCACAACCATCTCTAGGGTTTACAGAGAATGGTCCAAAAAAAAGAGATAATATCCAATGAGTTGCAGTTGTGGACAAAAATGCCAGAGGTCAGAGGAGAATTGCCAGACTGGTTTGAGATGATAGAAAGGCAACAGTAACTGAAATAACCACGTTACAAGGTATGCAGAATACCATCTCTGAACACACATGTTGAACCTGAAACAGATGGGCTACAGCAGCAGAAGACCACTCTGGGTACTACTCCTGTCAGCTAAGAACAGGAAACTAAGGTAATAATTTGTACGGGCTCACCAAAATTGGACAATAGAATATTGGAAAAACGTTGCCTGGTCTTATGAGTCTCGATTTCAGCTGCGACATTCAGGTGGTAAGGTCAGCATTTGGAGTAAACAACATGAAGCATGGCTCCATCCTTCCTTGTATCAATGATTTAGACTGGTGGTAGTGGTGTAATGGTGTGGGGATATTTTCTTGGCACACTTTAGGCCCCTTACTACCAATTGAGCATCGTTTAAAACCAGTTCCTGGCTGCGGTATAGCCAAAAGGTGGCTACAGCGCGGTCGGCTAGTTCTGGGAGGGCATCTATGGACATCCTCCCAAAACCATACCCCCCGCGCGCCCCCTGGGTCGCGCACTGTGCGTGATCTGTGATCACTATGTCCTTTGGACATAGCTGATCACTTGATTAAGGAATGGGCCAATCACAGCTGCTTTTACCATGTGACCAGCTGTGTCCATTCACAGCTGATCAGCTGGTAAATAGGAAATGCTGGTTATCGGCAGTCCTCTCCTCATGCTGACAGCGAGTGGTGAGAGGAGAGCTGGTAAGCGGCATTTCAATGGAGGAGCCACAGCTATGCAAAGCAGTGTGCAGGAGCTGACAAGGGAGAGAACTGTTTTGTTGCTCAGCAATACTCAGCAATCACAGGTGTCAGTGAGTAACCACCGGCCAGTGACAGCTGGGGCCGCGAATACCCTACCTGGAAATGCAAAATCACGTGTATATATATATACGTGATTTTGCGCACCTGTGCCGTCCTGTAGCAGTACTTTTGCTATAGGGTGGATGGGAAGCGGTTAACGCCTTTTCATGCTGTATATACTGTGTCTTGAGCGTTTTGTGGTAAATACCGCAGAATGATATAGTGAATTGACAGATTCAGAACTGCATGCAATATTTAGGCAAAATGTGCTTGGACACCTAAATATGCAAGTTCCTTTTTTGAATGGAGCCCAGTGGCTTTTATTGAGGTGCATTCAGGGGCTTTGGTAAAAAAAAAACAGCAAAAGCCCCAAAAATGTTAGTTTGGGAGCAGCAGTGTGCTTGAGGCCATATTCATTCGTTCTGACCCAGCTGCCTGCACACCAGTTCTTGACAGGTGAGGGCCACTAATCTTGCTGCAGATCTCTTGCCCAAATTCATTTCCCTTATCTAGTATGTCCTATCTGAGTATAGTTTGAATTCTCCAAAATATGAGATGATCTAAAATATTAGAAAATTCATAAAATAATATACATAACAATAATAATAATAATAATAATAATAAAAAAAAAAAAACAACATATAAAGACCATTTGTAACAGCCATTTGAGACTAGCTGATTTTAGGTACTCAGGGTTAAAGGTCTGTTAGGTGGACAGACCTATAACTTTAAAGAAACTTAATATAAATTTTAATAGAAAGCTGTTCACATTCAACTTTCTCTTTCTCTTTTTTAGACAGAGCAGGGAAGAGTTAAACCCCAGATTTTTGCAAGCTATGTCCCATTCTGGAGAAGCCCTTTCACTTCCTGTTTTAAAAACCTAAAAGGAAATGGGAGGAAATCTCCCCAAAGTAAGGGGAATTGATCACTAGGACAGATTTATAGCTGTCATTTAAGTCAGAATCTGCCTAGAGTTTCCTGAGGTCCTGCTGTTCTGGGATTGGTTGTGGGATGTTGCACTTGGTTAATCACAGGTATACAGGGCAGAGTGTCTACCTTCTATCTTCACATACCCAAAATGTCTGTCTACTGTCCTAAACATATAAAAGCTCACCCAGGAGAGTAGACTAACATTTGATGGCCTTATTGTAGGTAGAAGATTACTTAAAAGGCACAGAGGATTTCATGTACTGAAAAAGTGGTTCTCAAACTTTCTGAGACCAGGACAAGGAGTAAATTATTTCAAAACCTTCCTTATTCCAAGAATACAAAAAAAGTTTATATCCAAATAATAAAAGTATAGGAATGCAAAATATTTATTGGAAGGCTCTGGATGAGGCTGGTTGTATCTGTGGGCAAATTGCAGTTCTGGAGGAGGTTAGGGGACTCTGCAGCAGACTTGGTGGGCCTGTAGGCAATGAGGTTTCTGAAGGAAGCTTGGAACAACTAAGAGGGATGAGGCCTCTGGAGGGGTATGGGGTCTCTCCTGGAGACTGGGAGAGATTGGGAGCTTGCAGGGGCACTATAGGAGATTGGAGGGTGCTACTGGGGCCAGGGGGGCACCTTGGAAGGTTCAGAGGACTATGAGACACTGTTGGAGATAGATGGCACGGGGGGGGCTTAAGGCCCTGTATTAGGCCTGGGGGTACTGCTGGGAGCTGGTGGGCACTGCAGGAGGCTGGGCAGGACTGTGGGAGTTTGGGGGTTAGTGTGGTGCCTTACACAAATTAAAAACACATCGGGGCTGATTTACTAGATAGAGATTTACTTTAATAGAGGAGAAAATGATCACTTAGGAAGATTAAGCTGTGTTTCACTTCAACTATCCGATAATGTGCAAAGCAAATTCCAGTTTTCTTTTCCACCACACATGATTGTGTATTCAAAGCCAAAACAGCTACAATTGAAGTAGAACTATAGGCATTTTTTTTTCATTTTGGATACAGTAAAGGAGGGTTATAACTCCTGTCAGATTTTTTTTCACCATCTCTCACCTATTGTAGAGATTTACCTTCACTTCCTGTCACATAGTCAAACAAGAAGTGGGAGTAAGTCCCTGCAAATGAAGGGGAATTCTTTGGGGACCCCCAGGTCACCGGAACTAGTGTCTCCATTGGAACATTTCCCCTCTATTACTTTTCTGGGAACCCAACATTTGGGGTTTTCCTTTCTTTTCACTTTCAAAAAAAATAATGGTAAACAGGACAAATAGAGAGAGTGAATCTCCTTAGTGGGGGCAAAGGCAGCAATATAAACTGACAAGTGTTCTAATCCCTCTGAACTCTGTCCAATGTTTAAAAAAAGTGTTGCCTTTAGTCATACTTTAATTGAGTGAATTGTCCCAACTTGTTTAGTAACTTAACCCTATTATCAGTGTATTTTTTACAATTTAAAAACATTTAAAGTCAGTGAACTAGTTTTGATGTATAACTGGTTTACATGTTGTAGGGAGGGAAAAAAATATTTTATGTTCATCAATGTTATGTCTTGTGCTGTTAATTTTCTGTACAGCCATCATAGGGTTTACTGTTATTACCCCATACACCTTTTAACAGGTAAAACCCTTTATTGTGCACCAGAGACTGCTTTATGTTTTTTTTCTCATTAGCCATTAAGAGTGGATTGTTTTGCAAAAAAAAAAATATATAAATAATTTTTTTTATTTTATATATAATATATATATATATTTTTTTGTATTTATTTATTTATATTTAAATAAAACTACAACAAACTTTATGCTTTTAAATTTTTTTTGCTAGACTATCATATATGTTGTACACAGTATTTTTACTGCATGGAGAAATATATGTGAGCTGCAAATGCTGCCCTCTGTCTAAGAATTCTAGTAGCCTGGCTTTCTTCAATTTTGACAAGAAATGTATCAAGCATGCAGATAAAAAGTTATATTAATGTCAAAATTTTGGATCTGCATACAACGTCCGGGTCAGTGCCTCAAAGTATTGAAGCATAACAGCCAGGCAACTAGCATTTTCACAAGGAGGTGATAAGCAGCATCTTCCATATTATTTCAGTGCAGTTTTATTTAAAGTGAATGTAAACCTTAAACCTTTTAAATGTTTCTTACTCACAAAAGACAAACTTTGTTATTAAATTATACTATATATAGAATAAAATACAATAAAACCAGAGATGAAAATTGGAACATAATCAATTTATTTCATATGTTATCATTCAGCTGTTTTTGTAGCCTGAAATACATAATTGGGTGAGTGGTGTAACTCTATCCTCTGTGATGAAAGAATCCCTTAACGGTACTTGGAGGTCAGCAAACCAGCAACCACGTTCAGGAACTTGTCCAGGGCCTGATGGGTGGCACAGTCCAGTTTGTCTCCGTGGTGGACAGCAACGACTACCAGGATATTTTTGTTCAATAGCTAGATGCAAAAAACAACATTAGTGTGTTAGAAAGTCACTGTTTCATATGTTTAGAGCTATACATATGTTAAAGTCACAACAGTATTTTATTCTCAATACTTACTGCAAAGTTGCCAGGATCCACCCTCAAGGTATAGGCATGGAGATCACTCAGACTGCACATTGAGGTCTCAGGGTGGTCCAGATGTTTGACCACGTCAGTCAGAGCATTCATTACCTTCTTGCCATGACCCTTTAGGTTAGCAGAATTTGCGTGGAAGTCAAAATTGGGAAAGTAAGTCTTGGTTTGAGGATGGCAAATGAACATCCTGTAACAGATCATTAAAAGCAAGAGGTGAAATATCAACTGCCAGTTTAGTATTTCATATATTGTTATTAGTAGAGGCAATGGCAATTATTAGTAATATAAAACTAACTTGTAAACAAATGTCCAACAATTACGCACGCTAAAAATCAACCTATTTACATATAGTGAGTATCACAACATACAAATACACAGTACAGAGGTCATATTAATATGTACATATGTCTACATACACATCAGATTAATATACCTGTGAAGAGCTTCTGCACCATACTGCTCAGCATGGCTAGCTATACATGGCCAGATGGCACGGATATGTGCTTTGTCATCAGCGTTGAGAGCCATGGTTGTTTATGTTGGTGATGCACTTGTATCTTTTATGCCACCTTTTTATATAGTTTGAGTACTGGGCTAAGGAGAAAATATCTTTCATCTATTGGATGGGCTAAGCAGCAACTCCCACAACCACAACATCTACGCCCATTCATCTTGGATCATGACCAAATCACTTAACTCAGCATGAGCCTATGGTTCTTTGGGGATAAATAATATAATTGTAAAACATGTACATATTTGTTTTATACATAATAATATGCCATTCGACCAAACACATTCCTGCACCAATTAAAGTTGCTACTTCATCACATTTGTAATTCCATGAAAACCATACTATTTTATTTATCAATTCATGCATCCAATTCCTTGTTTGATATAAAAAAACTTTTATTTTAACTAACATTTAAAACTTTAAGGTGCTGAAGTCCAGTTACCCCAATGTGTAATCTATCTATATATATATATATATATATATATATATTTACAGTGTATATTAAACACTAGGGCAGAGGAGTATATTTATATTCCTCTAATGTGAAAACAGACTCATAATCTACTATTTAAACAACCAATAATACCAATAATAAAACATTTTAACAAACAAATGATAATATTGTGCTGAAAATTTTGTGCAAAAATGTCCAACTATCACCATGTGTATCAGTGCACTTTACCCACCCCATTCACTCCACATCTGCTAGAAGTCTAATATACACCAAAATCTTCCAATATTAGACGACATTGTTCCACGCAATCAATATCTCTTCTCCACCTTTAATTATACAGTGTAAACTCAGTGCCCCCTCCATTGACACTCTCATGCTCTCACCTTCCTTTTAGACCTCCAAAATAATAGGTTTACTGCACCTTCCCCTTTAAGGGGTCTGTATCCACATGAATGAGCCTCTCTTATTGGATACCCATATGGCAATCTCCATCCAGAATATTCCTGCAGATAAATTATTTAAGGACTTATTCACACAGGTATTCAAAATGGGCAGTTGGGTTGCGTTTTTAATGCCTTCAGATTGCCTATTAAAGGAGAAGTACAGCCAAAGCTCTTTTGGCTGTACTTCTGTGGATCACAGGTGTGCAGTTCGTTCTGCAGTCCTGTGACCCGTTTTCAGCCGATAGCAGGCTGAAGCCCACTGTCGGCTGACATCACTGAGCTGGTCCAGGTTGGAGAAAGATACCGACTTCAAAGTTGGGATCAACCCAGAGAATGTAGCCACACCTGGCTCAGCCTCTCAGCGAGCCGCTGAGACCCTGAGACAGCCGCTCCCTCCCCCTAAAAAGCCAGGTGCTCCAGTGAGTGTTGGGGGGGGGGGGGGCAGTGCAGACAGCAGCCGTGAGAATTCAGCGAACAGTGGTCATGTCATCGCTGAGTTCTCACACTTAGAGCCGGCAGGGGAACAATGCTGCATCCACCTAGGTTAGTATATTTTGGGGAAAACAACAAACCCCATACTTCTCATTTAATGCCACTCAAAATTGTTTCAACAGGGAGCAGATAGAGGTGTTCACACTGCAGCGTTAGTGTTGCTTCACATTGTGGAGGCCAAAAATAGTGCTGCCTGCAGAGTTTGGCAGGCATTGACACTTTGCAACTTTCTCCATTCACTTCTATTGAATACACCATAATCGCACTTTAAACGCACTGTATTCGCGTCTATGACATTTACAGTTAATTTACAGTACAGTTGCAAAGCATCACAAGTGATAATTTCCCATTTTAGCCTTGTAAAAGAAACCACACAGGGCATTTGAGAAGTGTTGCCTGACACAACGCCTGTATAACACATCCTAAATGTTAATTAACGCTATAGGTGTGTTTTAGCCTGCTTTAAAATGTAACACCTGCGTGAAATAGCCCTAAGGATCTACTGCATCACTAACCTGCGGGAATATTCTGGATGGAGATGGATGGAGATTGCTATATATGAATCCAGTCAAAAAGGTTAAACTGTGTAGATACAGACTCCTAAAGGGGAAGGTGCAGTAAACCGATTATTTTGTAGTTCTACAAGAAAGGTGAGAGCATGGGAGTGTGGATGGAGGGGGCACTGAGTTTACAGAGTGTAATTAAGGGTGGAGCAGAGATATTGATTGTATGGAAAATTGAGTCTGTTATTTGTTGGATTTTAGTGTACATTAGACCTTCTAGTGGATGTGGAGTGAATTGGGTGACTAAAGTGCACCAATACACATGGTGATAGTCAGACATTTATTTGTACATAATTTTCAGCACAATGAACAATTTAATATTTGTTTGTCAAAATGTTTTATGAGTCTTGCATGAGTTTGTTTCACATCAGAGGAATACAAATATACTGGTTGGTCTGGTTTAACAGTATATATATATATATATATATATAAAAATATATATATATACAGTGTATGTATATTCCATGTATATATATATTTGTACATAATGTATATTTACAGTAGCTCTTGGGTGAATCCCCTATTTGTCTTCTATAGGGAAAAGGCTAATACCTAAAGCAGTCATATCATTGTATCATTGCTACTCATTTAATATCCAGAAAATAATTCACCCTTTCCATATAAAGCACTGGAGAATGGTCAGATTGTAGTAACATTTTTTGTTCCTTTCCCTCTCCTTTCTCCTATTCTAGGGAATATGTATATGAATATTAAGAAACACACGCTGTATAAACATACACTAGGCGTACGTAAATACATGTGGTTTGACAGTTTCAATTATCGGAAACATCATGTAATATGATGTACTTAGTTTTACATTGCTTACACATATTAAAGTTTATGCAAAGAAAATGTGAGGTACAGTATATCACAGAAGTGAGTATACCCCTCAAATTTGTGTAAATATTTTATTATATTTTTTCATGTAACAACACTGAAGAAATGACACTTTACTACAATGTAAAGCAGTGCGTGTACAGCTTGTATAACAGTGTAAATTGTCTGTCCCCTCAAAATAACTCAACACACAGCCATTAATGTCTAAACCGCTGGCAACAAAAGTGAGTACACCTCTAAGTGAAAATGTCCAAATTGGGCCCAATTAGCCATTTTCCCTCCCTGGTGTCATGTGACTTGTTAGTGTTACAAGGTCTAAGGTGTGAATGGGGAGCAGGTGTGTTACATTTGGTGTTATCGCTCTCACTCTCTCATACTGGTCACTGGAAGCTCAACATGGCACCTCATGGCAAAGAACTCTCTGAGGAAAAAGAATTTTTGCTCTACGTAAAGATAGCCTAGGCTATAAGAAGATTGTCAAGACCCTGAAACTGAGCTGCAGCACGGGGGCCAAAACCATACAGCGGATTAACAGGACAGGTTCCACTCAGAACAGGCCTCGCCATGGTCGACCAAAGAAGTTGAGTGCACGTACTCAGCGTCATATCCAGAGGTTGTCTTTGGGAAATAGACGTATGAGTGCTGCCAGCATTGCTGCAGAGGTAGAAGGGGTGAGGGGTCAGCCTGTCAGTGCTCAGACCATACGCCGCACACTGCATCAAATTGGTCTGCATGGCTGTCGTCCCTGAAGGAAGCCTCTTCTGAAGATGATGCACAAGAAAGCCCACAAACAGTTTGCTGAAGACAAGCAGACTAAGGACATGGCTTACTGGAACCATATCCTGTTATCTGATGAGACAAAGATAAACTTATTTGGTTCAAATGGTGTCAAGCGTGTGTCGCGGCAACCAGGCAAGGAGTACAAAGACAAATGTGTCTTACCTACAGTCAAGCATGGTGGTGGGAGTGTCATGGTCCAGGGTTGCATGAGTGCTGCCAGCACCGGGGAGCTACAGTTCATTGAGGAAACCATGAATGCCAACATGTGCTGTGACATACTGAAGCAGAGCATGATCCCCTCCCTTCCGAGACTGGGCCGCAGGACAGTATTCCAACATGATAACGACCCCAAACACACTTCCAAGATGACCACTGCCATGCTAAAGCTGAGGGTAAAGGTGATGGACTGGCCAAGCATGTCTCCTGACCTAAACCCTATTGAGAATCTGTGGGGCATCCTCAAATGGAAGGTGGAGGAGCGCAAGGTCCGTGATGTCGTCATGGAGGAGTGGAAGAGGACTCCAGTGGCAACCTGCGAAGCTCTGGTGAATTCCATGCCCAAGCAGTTTAGACATTAATGGCTGTGTGTTGAGTTATTTTGAGGGGACAGAAAATTTACACTGAGCTGTACACTCTCTACTTTACGTTGTATCAAAGTGTTATTTCTTCAGTGTTGTCACTTGAAGAGATATAATAAAATATTTACACAAATGTGAGGGGTGTACTCACTTCTGTGAGATACTGTACATGCTTTTTTTTAGATCCTAACCGTCAATGGTGACAGTTATTAATGTAAGGTAAAAGTTTTTTTCTAAAGTTGCTGTGTGTGATATACCATACAAACTACATAAGATTAGACTAAAGAAAGGGAATTATGTTCAAAAATGTCTTTGCTCAGCAGAAAAGTGAAGTTATTACAGATAATCAAAGAGCATTATATTTGTATCTTTCATACAATGTACAGTATTATACAGTATGCTGAGCCTTTTATATGGAAGGAAACATATTATAACATTGTTAAAGGCAAATAATTAACTTAGTAAAACTGCATCTGTGTTTACTTTCAATAGTCAATCAGGAGCAAGGATTTTTGTTTGCACATAAATGGATGACTAAATGCTGCACAGTGCACACTTTTATTTCAGTTTTTAGAGAAAAGCCACTACTTCTCTAATAAAGCAACCAAAATCTGTCAGTTGAGTAAAACTGATTAACTGAAGAAGAAACATCACTGTATAAGGAATAAAACTGGTCTAGTGACAACAATACTAAAAAAGAGCATAGACTGGTCATGTCAGATGTGTACCCAAACCATCCTGCAGGAGCACAAAGAATCTGGTAAAGGTACAGTAGACAACCATTGTGCTTGAGGTCATTGTGGCCATATTAGTGCACTTGCTGCCCATGATACTTTTTTTTTATTTGTACTATCAGATACATTTTCAGGA